CCTTCTCTCTTTGAACCAAGCAGGATGTTTCACAGTGAGCTGTAATTATATTTTCTGTCTATGATCATGTCTTTGCAATGGAAGTATTAGCAAATTCACGATGTACATTGTCGTGTAGGTCTGCCATAGCCAAACTTGGGATTCAAAAATTGTGACTAGTGCTTGGTGGGTTAACCCTTACCAAGTCAGTAAAACAGCTCCCATGGGGGAATATCTTACAGTTGGTAGCTTCATGATTCGTGGTAAATAGAACTTTCTTCTAACACACCCCCTCATCATGGGTTTTGGAATTTTACTTCACTTGGATGAGAGTTCCTTGGGAGGGGTATTTTTTAAATTGGCTTGNACACACCCCCTCATCATGGGTTTTGGAATTTTACTTCACTTGGATGAGAGTTCCTTGGGAGGGGTATTTTTTAAATTGGCTTGCTCAAACCAATTTTTCAGTTTGACCATTTTTTTCTTGTATTCACCACATTGGCCTCTTGTCACTAAAAAGACAATTGTGCCCTTATTCATGTTTCACAATTACAAAAGTATATCAATTCTTTAAAAAACGATAATAACCTTAATAGTTTAAATAAATTCAGTTACTTTCATACATAAATTTCAAAATCAGTTTTGCTTATCAATTTCTCCAATACAGTAAAAAAGAATTTTTTCCTTCCATCTGCTAAAATATTGAAATCTCCCAAAATTATCAAAGGTTCAACAAAAAAACAATACTCACAGTCGGCACTGAAAATTGGTAAGTGTAAATACGTATTTTTAATTTTGTTTTAGTTAAATTTACTGTTTGAATCTTTAAATCCTTTTTTTGATAAAGGCAGATGAAATTTACAGTATTTAAACACAGATTTATAATTTTTTATAGCAAAAATAACAAAAAAATTCATCTCTGTATGCATATATTTTACAGGAAAAATTTATAGGTGTCTGTAAAATAAATATTTAAATATTATTTCGTTGAAAAAGGGAAAAACTAAAAAATTCGAGCGTAAATTTCAGATGAAACGGACGAAAAATGTTGGGTCAAATGTTTCCAGCCGGCCCAGTTGTCCGGGCCGGATGGAAACAACACGCTGCGTCCAGCAGGTTGGAAACATCCGGCCCAGCCGGTTTTTTTTCTTCCCCCCCCCTTTTAGATTTTAGAATTTATTTGTTCATTAATATATGTTTATTGAAATAAATATTAATGAATATTTAAATACTAATTGAAATAAATATTTTTGAAACATTTAAAATAATCAATGAATTATTTAAAGTATTAAATTAAATTAAATATGAAATGAACAATTTAAAAAATTATATATTAATTCCTTATTTTTAATTTGTGGCAAATATGACATCAGAATGTGTCCCAATTTGTTACTTTGGTGAATTTCAAATGAATGAAAATGCTCA